AAACAAATATTACAAAAAATATACTGCATATTAAAGCAAACTATTGTAAAGGTAAAAGTATGAGCATAACAAATAAAGAAGTGTAAACATTTACATTATTATTATGATTATTTAATATATAAAGACTATATATTATTGAATTACAAGATTAGATATACTTTATTTGATCTAAAATATTGATGTTTTTTCGTTATACTGTAGTAGCCTGTGAAAACCATAACAAATATGTGTTCAAATGCTCTTCACCAAAACACAACTGAAGTACTGAAAGTCCATGAAACTTGTCTTTCTGTATTTGTGAATGAAGCGCCGATGGTTAAATCCTGAAATTGAAAATCTGGCAACGGCTTAACATTCCCAGCCGCTGGGATCCCTTGTGTCTTGGGAGACAGCCTATAGAGAAGAGGTCCGGAAACTGACGGAGTGGTGCGCGGTCAACAACCTACTGCTTAACTCAATAAAAACTAAAGAAATCATCATCGATTTCAGGAGAACCAGCATAGTCCACGCCCCCCTCTACATTAACGGGGACTGTGTAGAGAGGGTGCCTTCATTTAAATTCCTGGGAGTCCACATCTCCCAGGAGTTCACCTGGTCCACAAACACCACGGCAGTGATAAAGAAGGCCCAGCAGCGACTATACTTCCTGAGACTGCTCAGAAGCTGCTGGTGACCTTCTATCGCTCTACAGTTGAGAGCGTCCTCACATACTGCATCTCTGCTTGGTATGCAGGGTGCTCGGCTGCCGACAGGAAGGCTCTGCAGAGGGTCATTAACACGGCCCAGAGGATTATTGGCTGCCCTCTGCCCTCCCTGGAAGACATGACCAGCTCTCGCTGCCTCAGGAGGACCAGTTCCATCCTGAAGGACTCATCCCACCCAGCCCGTCATCTGTTCGACCTGCTGCCCTCGGGCCGGCGCTACCGTTCACTGAAAGCCCGCACCTCCAGACTCACAAACAGTTTCTTCCCATGGGCCATTAGGACATTAAACACACAAAAATAACCCCCCATATCCCCACTGTGCAATAATCATGGTCTGTCTCTATGTATATACTGTAATATTTATCATATATATTTTATCATAATTCTATTTTATTCATTTATTTATAAATCCTGGTCATCTACATGACGATCCGAAGCTGTGTGCGCTACTTGCTGGTCGTAACTGTCAGACCTTTTAATATGTGTTTTAATATGTCTGTTTTTAAAGCACTAGCTGGAGCAATAAACTATAAATCTCGTTGTATTCTGTACAATGACAATAAAAGCTTTTGAATTTGAATTTGAATGAGAGGGCAAACCTACGATGGCGCATCTGTTCTACAGGGACAAATGTCAGGTGTGGCCAAATGTTTCAAAGACATCAATCCCAAAGCAGTCTCAATGCATTGCACCAATCACAGTTTAAACCTAATACTTCAAGAAGCTGCTTCAAAGTGCAACATTGTGGTGCCTTCACGACATACATGAGATAATCAATAACTCACCAAAACGACTTGCCATCTTTAAAACCATTAGCGATGCTGCCTCTCCTCATGTCAGTGGCCTCAAACCGCTCTGCCCCACTCGCTGGACAGCCAGAGGCAGTGCAATAAAATCCTTGCTTGCTAATTACGAAGCTGTGTACGACACTTTGGATGAAATAATCCGAATGGGGGGGAACACAGAAGCAAGCAAAAAAGCACCAGGGCTGCAGGCATTGATGACTCAATTCAGTGTTTTCTTTGGATTGAAAGTGTGTCTTAAACTGTTTTCTTCTGCGGAAGAGGTGGCTCGGGTGCTCCTGTCCACAGACCTCTCAGCAGAGACAGTTGAGTCAGCAGTGCAGATGCTCCAGACACACTACACAAACCTGAGGTCCACAGAGGCATTCCACAGCATCTTTGAAGATGCCCAAAGAACGGCCATGAACGACCTGGTCCAGGCACCGGCTCTTCCTCCAAGGCGGCGCGCTCCACGCCGTTATGATGATGGGGATGCGCCTCATCAGTGGGTAAATCCAGAGGACTACTTCAGGAGCCAGTTCTTTGAGGTAGTTGACCTGCTCACTTCTGAGCTGACTCGCAGGTTTAACCAACCGCATCTGCTGATGAGCATGGAACAGGTACTCCTCACAGCAGTAAACAGTCCCCTGGGATTCGGCAGCATCAACATCCCCCAAAATGTGGTCGACATGTACACAGGTGATGTTGACATGGAACGGCTGTCCACCCAGTTGTCACTGTTTCCAGCAGTTTTGCAGGCACACAACAGTTCCGCCGCTGAAAGACCCAAAGACAAAGGTGGCCACAATCGCGGACATGCTGGCAGCACAGGGACGAGCTTAATGATGGCTTAATGATGGTTATAAAAAGGATGGTACTTGTTGTTTTCAGTTCATACTGAATTGTTAATAATTACATGAAATTATGAGCTGTTTGACTATGTGTGTGCGGACCCCAGGAAGAATAGCTCATGCTAGTACTAATAGGGATCCTAATAAAGAACACAGAATGAAGAACTAAAATTGTACAACTATCCACTATAGACCTACAACAGAACACTGAAATTAGGATCAATATTATAAAGTAGAAAAACAATCATCAAATAGTTTTTAACAGACGACAATTACTTTGCTTTAAGAACATCACTGAGTAAATCTGAGTATCGAGCTTTTGCCTCTTCATGTATTTGACCGCAAAGTAATTTCGCACTCACTGATACAGGTAGGTGTTATTGCAATAGCCTAACATTGGATTAGGTGTGAAGTTTGAAAGTATGAAAAACACAAGGAAAACCTAAAGATAGTAAGAGCAGACCTACATTGAACCCAGCAGATATAAAGCATACTAACCCTACAGGTTAATGCCTACAGATGATGCCGTGCTGGCCCCCGTCTGAACCCTGTGCTGCCGTGGAGGTTTCACCGGCCTGGCAAACCCTATCTCCTGAAGCAGAAGTCTGAAGCCAATTTGTATGCAACTTAAGTTGGATCCGATAGTGAGCTTCCTAGCCAAAGCAGGAGTCGTCACTGGTGGGCGGACACCAGCTCACGGAGCATCTCACACTCATGACAAACATAACGTTCTTTCCTCAGGGCTGAAGCACGCTACAGCCATCCAATCTTGAGTTATATTAAGAAGCTCCAATGTACTTATTACACGAATGCCACACTGTGCCTGTCTCCTCTAAGCTGGGGAGGAATACAGTGTATATCAGTACAATCACACACCCACGGTGAGTTATATTAAACCAATGTGGTGAGTGTCAAATACAACTTTTCAGCAGCTTTGTGCCAACTGTTAATGCTGCCTGCACTTCGGAGGGGATCTTATATTAGCCTTCCATTTGGTAATGATGTCCATTATATTTCAATATTTCAATATACAGCAATACAATACAACCCACTCCACACTCACCAACTCTCTCAGAAATCAAATCCTGGATTTTGCACCGGACCTGGGGTGACAGAGCATTCTCCATAGATGCCCCCACCCTCTGGAACTCACTCCCACCACAAATCAGAGACTGTACTGACCCCCCCACCTTCAAAACACTAACCAAAAGTCACCTTTTTGGATTAGCTTTTAATGTGTGATCGACAACATGTACTTGTACATCTTATCATATTTTTTCTTACCTCTGTAAAGTGTCTTCAAGCACTTGATAAAGCGCTTGATAGATAAAATGTATTATTATTATTAATATAAAAAGTTTGCGATGGAAGGAAATGATGTGGCTCAATGGTTGAATGTGCTTTAGTTCATATGTGTATTGGAGTGGTGCATCACCAGCATAGCAGTTACATCATACTCTACAGTGAAATGAGAGCCAAGATATTGGATACACTGAGGGAGTCATTCAGAAAAGGATTGCATGGCTTTTGTGGCCGCTAATCCTGCACAAATAGGACCAAAATAAACCGTGTAATGCTCAACGCACCTCAAACAGTGAAATGCAGCTCTAACTGCGATGCCAAGCCAATGTAGTCTCGCTGCTCCTGTGCTAGGAATTTAAATGAGTTAATATGCATAAACACATTTGGTGCTATATTTGCCCATTTCCTTACAATGAGACTCATTGCAATAATAGTCAAATGACCAAATATCAACCCTAATAGTCAAATGCAATGAAATAATGACCGGCCTCAGAGGGTTGGTGGTAATTGAGCTGCATTAGCACAATTAGATGCTGGTAATGGCTAGTGATGTGCAAAAATAAACAAGTATTTCTAAATAAATCTTTTTAGTTTCCAGTATGTAACAGGTTAGCCTTTTAAACATCTAAGTGCACACTGTTACTTTAAATCTGTAACGTTTGTCTTCAAGTTTTTGTTGTTGTTGTTGACACAGATTTACACAATCCTGGTCTGTAAACCATTCTTGTTCAGTTTAAAAAATTGTTAAAAGTGTATATATTTCTTTCCTTTCCCTTCGCAAAAAAGGCTGAAAATGTCCCCTATATGCGTCACTAAGACATCACCATTAACAGAGCAGCAATAATAGGGGGAGAGGATGTAATTAGAGTGGTAGAATATGAATTATGACTCATAAATCATGTTGGTCGGCAAGCGATAGTGCATACTAGTTAAGTGCCAACAAACAATGGTCTAATTACCCGCCAATTACCTGGTTAATAATGCTTTTCCAGGGCCAGTCTGTTGACCTGTGGCTGAGATGACGCTGTCACGATCTGTCTGTGTTGTGTTTTGTCTTGTCTTTTTCTGGTTTCCTGTTTTGTTTTGAAATGTTTTCCTCGTGTCTTCTCTGTTCCTTCTTCCTGTGTTTGCCTTCCTGTCTTAGTTTCCCTGGTGTGTCTGATTGTTTGATTGTGTTCACCTGTTGCCCTTGTGTTTCTGCCTCCCTTACCCCAGCTGTGTCTCGTCTTGTGATTACCCCTCTCTGTATTTAGTCTTGTCTCTTCCTGTGTTCCCCTGTCGGTTCATTGTTTGTTTCTCCTGTCTCCCACCATGTTGGTCACGGTCAGTTTTCTATAGAACCTATGTGTTTCATGTAGTGATGACGAGATGAAGCCTCATGAAGCTTTGAAGCTTTCCAGCAAATCGGTTCGCTAAAAGGTTCATCTCATGAAGCTTCATCATGGGCTTCATGTGCTCACAAGACCCCCTGTTGGTGAACAGGTGTAAAACAGCCACATATTATTTGTAATCTTTGACATACTAAAAATACTGGAAATAATGATACAAAAAGGTAAAAGATGTCAAATGTATTTGTCATCCTGTATGAACAGAATTTTACACCAGTAAGTGTTTTAAAATGACTGTATATAATAATAAAAACAATGTGTCAATATAGTATCTTGTTGTTACATCTATACATAAATAAATGTAAATGTCTGCTGCCTTCTATAAAGACAAAAGAAGCAATATATGTTCGAAAACTGGAAAAGAACAAGGGTTTAACTTGCCAGAGGTCAAGCTCACTGCAACCACCTTCTGCATGTCAGCTATGGCCTTGCTCCTTTCTAGAGCATACTTGGCCTCCACCATAGCCTTAACAGCCTAAAAGAGGGGATGGTTAATTCACTGGTTAATTGTCAAATGCCATGAAAAAATAAACAATTTTGCTCTATACATGAAGTCTTACACACCTGTCGCTTGGGGATGACATAGTTTGGATCCAATAAGGCCACAAATGCCCTGAATCCCACATCCTCCACAACACTGAATGGCTGTGTATCCTTCACAATCAGGTTGACCAAGGCCTCATCCAGATCCTGTTTTCTGGTAGGCCTGGTACCTGGGGGGGGGGGGGTAAGCTGTGTTAAGAATGAGTATCTTGTAACTTTCTTTTATTTGCATGATAAAGTGAAGTTAACATGGTTAAATTATAGTATATTATAGTATATTATTCCAAAATATTAAATGACAAACCTTGAGCAGGTCCACCTGCATCACCTGCATGTCCCTCCTTCATCTCATGCATGGCACGATAATGCCTTAGCATGGATGAAGTATTGTTACTGTACCCCAGTTCCCTGGAGCACAATAAACACTTCACCTTTGAATGAAATAGAAAAAGTAAAAAAATGAACCATACAAAATCTAACATAATACATTGTTGTAATAAACCATGTATGCAAACCTTACCTTATTGTGTGAAATCTGATCAAAGTATTCCCACATAGGGGAAGTCTTTCTCTTCTTAGCTGGCTCCATTCTAACTTTGCAAGTAGCAAAAATATCGTACAACCAAAACTGGCAAAACGACAAGTGTTTTCCTCTCACAAGGATCACACATCTTGAATCGAATCCCATGGCTTTTTATCTGTCAGAAGCTCGCGCCAAGATCTGAATCGCTTCCTGAAGCAGTCACGTGGTATCGACAAACGAGGCTTCGTTTGTCATCGATGACGTCACTGGCCCCCAAATGATACAAGCCTCGACACAGGCTTCACAGAAAGCTTCGGCGATTACTCGACACACGCTCCGAAGCCTCGGCTTCATCTCGTCATCACTAGTTTCATGCCATGCTATTGTTAAGCTTTAAGAATAAAGCTCGTTTTTGTTTCAAGACCGTTTACCTTTTCTGATAGTCTGCATTTGGGTCCTACCCTTCCACGCATTCCTTACAGAATGAACCGACCAAATATGGACCCAGCGGATTTTGAAGATTTTAAGGTAGATCTGTTCGATCTAGACTTTACCCTTCAATGTTACTATGTCGAGTGGAGTGGAACCTCGTCAAGAAAGGACAAAGAGGCTATCCTCAAGAAGGCACAGATGGCGGTGTCTAACATGCCATGGCTGAGGAGCTCGTTGCCTGAATGGCTCAGAGTTTTTGCACGTAGCCCCGAGTGCCAGTCTCCATTCTCTGACCCTTTTTTGGGATCCCGTCTGGCGTTTGGAGGTCCACGGAGCCTCCAAAAGACCTCAAAGAAACGCAAGGTCAGGAAGCCAGCTCATAATCCAGTACCGGTCCACACAGCCATGGATCCGTGCACCAGTACTCGCCCACACAGCCATGCTTCCGTGTTCGATTACCTGGCTCACACAGTCAGGTTCCAGGCTTCTGTTCCATGCCCAGCAGCCAGGGTGCCTGCTCCAGTACCGGCCCACACAGTCATGGTTCCGTGCACCAGTACAGCCCCACACAGTCATGGTACCGTGCTCCAGTACCATCCCACACAGCCATGGTTCCGTGTTCCGGTTCCGTGCCCAGCAGCCAGGGTGCCTGCTCCAGTACCGGCCCACACAGCCATGGTTCCGGCCCCAGTTCTGGCCCCAGCAGCCATGGTTCCAGCCCCAGTTCTGGCCCCAGCAGCCATGGTTCCGGCCCCAGTTCCGGCCCCAGCAGCCATGGTTCCGGCCCCAGCAGCCATGGTTCCGGCCCCAGTTCCGGCCCCAGCAGCCATGGTTCCGGCCCCAGTTCCGGCCCCAGCAGCCATGGTTCCGGCTTCAGTTTCGGCTCCAGTACTGGCTCCCCGGCCGACGCCAGCCCCCCGTGTCCTGTCGGTGGTCCGGCCGACTCCAGCACCTCGTGTCCTGTCGGTGGTCCGGCCGACTCCAGCACCTCGTGTCCTGTCGGTGGTCCGGCCGACTCCAGCACCCCCGTCTCCTGTCGGTGGTCCGGCCGACTCCAGCACCTCGTGTCCTGTCGGTGGTCCGGCCGACTCCAGCACCTCGTGTCCTGTCGGTGGTCCGGCCGACTCCAGCACCCCGTGTCCTGTCGGTGGTCCGGCCGACTCCAGCACCCCATCTCCTGTCGGTGGTCCGGCCGACTCCAGCACCTCGTGTCCTGTCGGTGGTCCGGCCGACTCCAGCACCTCGTGTCCTGTCGGTGGTCCGGCCGACTCCAGCACCTCGTGTCCTGTCGGTGGTCCGGCCGACTCCAGCACCTCGTGTCCTGTCGGTGGTCCGGCCGCCTCCAGCACCTCGTGTCCTGTCGGTGGTCCGGCCGACTCCAGCACCTCGTGTCCTGTCGGTGGTCCGGCCGACTCCAGCACCCCGTGTCCTGTCGGTGGTCCGGCCGACTCCAGCACCTCGTGTCCTGTCGGTGGTCCGGCCGACTCCAGCACCTCGTGTCCTGTCGGTGGTCCGGCCGACTCCGGCCCCCCCGTGTTTTGTCAGTGGTTCGGCCCACTCCAGCCCCTCGTGTTCTGTCGGTGGTCCGGCCGACTCCAGCACCCCGTGTCCTGTTGGCTCTATGGCCGACGCCTACCCCATGTCCTGTGATGTTGGAGGTCCCGCCGACTACTCTTCTGCCGGGGGTCCTGCCAACCCTATGTCCTGTGATGTTGGAGGTCCCGCCGACTACTCTCCTGCCGGGGGTCCTGCCAACCCTATGTCCTGTGATGTTGGAGGTCCCGCCGACTACTCTCCTGCCGGGGGTCCTGCCAACCCTATGTCCTGTGATGTTGGAGGTCCCGCCGACTACTCTCCTGCCGGGGGTCCTGCCAACCCTATGTCCTGTGATGTTGGAGGTCCCGCCGACTACTCTCCTGCCGGGGGGTCCCTGCCAACCCTATGTCCTGTGATGTTGGAGGTCCCGCCGACTACTCTCCTGCCGGGGGTCCTGCCAACCCTATGTCCTGTGATGTTGGAGGTCCCGCCGACTACTCTCCTGCCGGGGGTCTTGCCAACTCCATGTCCTGTCCTGTTGGGGGTCCCGCCGACACCTGTCCTGCCAGGGGTCCTGCCAACCCTATGTCCTGTGATGTTGGAGGTCCGCCGACTACTCTCCTGCCGGGGGGTCTTGCCAACTCCATGTCCTGTCCTGTTGGGGGTCCCGCCGACACCTGTCCTGCCAGGGGTCCTGCCAAATCCATGTCCTGTCCTGTTGGGGGTCCCGCCGACACCTGTCCTGCCAGGGGTCCTGCCAACTCTGTGTCCTGTCCTGTTGGAGGTCCCGCCGACACCTGTTCCACCGGGGGTCCTGCCAACTCTGTGTCCTGTTCCGTTGGGGGTCCAGTCGACACCAGCCCATGTCATGTTCAGGACCCCGTCTACGCCTGTCCCATCGGCTCCGGTTCCTGTCCGGCCGATACTGGTTCCTGCTCGTCCTCCGGAGCTGTCCCGTCGGCGCCTTCCTGCCCGGCCTCCGGAGCTGTCCCGTCGGCGCCTTCCTGCCCGGCCTCCAGAGCTGTCCCGTCGGCGCCTTCCTGCCCGTCCTCCGGAGCTGTCCCGTCGGCGCCTTCCTGCCCGTCCTCCGGAGTTGTCCCGTCGGCGCCTTCCTGCCCGGCCTCCAGAGCTGTCCCGTCGGCGCCTTCCTGCCCGTCCTCCGGAGCTGTCCCGTCGGCGCCTTCCTGCCCGTCCTCCGGAGTTGTCCCGTCGGCGCCTTCCTGCCCGTCCTCCGGAGCTGTCTCGTCGCCGCCTTCTTGTTCGCCCTCGAGCCCGGCCTCCTGAGTTCTCCAGCCGCGGTCTTCGCCCTCGGGCTCGGCCTCCTGATTCTTCCAGCCGCTGCCTTCGCCCTCGAGCCCGGTCCCCTGAGAGCCGCTGCCTTTGCTCTCATGCCCGGCCCCCTGAGTTCGCCCGCTGTGGCCGTCGCCCCTTTTTGGACTCTGCCTTGCCCCCGGGCCGTCCGCCCGGGACCCCTTTTGGGCCCGTCCTCCGGACCCCCTCCACCCACCCTTTTTGAAGTGTTAGACTATGTTTTTTGGGACGTCTGGGATCCGTCCCTTGAGGAGGGGGTTATGTCACGATCTGTCTGTGTTGTGTTTTGTCTTGTCTTTTTCTGGTTTCCTGTTTTGTTTTGAAATGTTTTCCTCGTGTCTTCTCTGTTCCTTCTTCCTGTGTTTGCCTTCCTGTCTTAGTTTCCCTGGTGTGTCTGATTGTTTGATTGTGTTCACCTGTTGCCCTTGTGTTTCTGCCTCCCTTACCCCAGCTGTGTCTCGTCTTGTGATTACCCCTCTCTGTATTTAGTCTTGTCTCTTCCTGTGTTCCCCTGTCGGTTCATTGTTTGTTTCTCCTGTCTCCCACCATGTTGGTCACGGTCAGTTTTCTATAGAACCTATGTGTTTCATGCCATGCTATTGTTAAGCTTTAAGAATAAAGCTCGTTTTTGTTTCAAGACCGTTTACCTTTTCTGATAGTCTGCATTTGGGTCCTACCCTTCCACGCATTCCTTACAGACGCTTAGCATATTGGATCTGCAAACTAACATGGAGGAGAGCCACAGATGCCTGGGCTCTCTTAAAGAACAGAACCAATCCCTCTGCAATCATTGCATTGCTTTTTTTTTACGTCGTAGTTTAAAACATCTTATTTTTTACATCAGTACTTGCAAGCCATGGAAGTGCTCCTGAAACCTTAGTGATTTTAATCAAATAATGTTATATTTTAACTACAATTATGTAGGATATGTTACTATATACATTACAGATTACAATTTTGCAAAATGTATGATCATTTACAACTTCATGCATTATCATAGACAAAACCACCATCTACACCAGGGGTATTCAAATTCAACGAGGTCCAGTTAGAGAAAATCTCCCCATGCAAAGGTCCGGAACATCAAAATGTCTAAGTTGCTTTATGAATTAGTGTGATATATATTGAAGTAGCCTGTAGCTTTATCAACATCTGCATGTAATCAACAACTGACTGCCAATCAAATAAAGAAAGTACAATTCAAAAACAACAATATTTATTGTCAATTAACATTAAACTATACAGATATACAGTAACATACTGTGGATATGTGTAATGTTCCTCTCGGGCTGCATTTAAAAATAAAATAGAGAAAATAAATAAAATCACTTTTGAAAATATGTGCATCTTAAAAGTGCTTAATTTTAGATAAATAAAATAAAGTGTAGCAGCAGCTTGAGTTTCCCTTTTTCTTTGTTAACCGTTTCACATCATGACCTAACAGTTTCAGCCGATTATAGAACAATATCAGTCTTTACACATCATAACAATTGAACAGTTTTAAAGTTTCTCTTTCTTTCCCTCTTATATTGCAGTCCCTCACTCACTTTGTTTTGTTCAGTGCGAGAATTGAGCTGGAGCTTGTCCTGCCAGGAGTTTAAATCTGGGCTGAAATGGTGTCAGGGCCATTCTCATACACACATGCAGGTGCTCATTGGTTAGCCTGCCCTGGAACGATATTTAGTTTTAATTTTGATCCTGGTGGACTGATCATATTGGGCTCTGAGACTGCTTATTTTTTGTGACCTCAGTTCTGACTTGAGAGGAAATGTTTGTATAGTGGCATTTTGGCACTTTTAATGAGCGCCACGGTCTCTGAACAAATGAGACACACTGGTTCTGTGTTCCCAGTGGGCAGGATGAACATGAATGAGTCCACTCAGGGTTAAAAGCTCTGTTCTCACTGTCCACTTTCCTCTTCTTGGAGAGCGCCATGTGTAATTATTTGTCTCTCCCTGTCTGCCGCTAACACGCCTGTTCACTCTCCTCTCCGCTTCTCTCCCTGTATCGCTAATTATTCTCTTCACTCACTTTCCTCTCCGCTTCTCTCTGCCGCTCTCTCATCTCTTCTTCTGTGTTTCTCTC